TTTAATTATTGTTTACTGACTTTATAATTACACACGTTTTAGGTTAATAAATATGGTTACAATAAAATTGTGGAATTCAGGGAAAAAATGGAAAAAGTGGAATTTAGAAAAACAAAACTGGAAAAAATGAAATTTAAGAAAAACTAAATTGGAATTTGGAAAATAATAATTATAAGGCCCTRGTCAACATAGGATGCAGGCACACCTACATCTTTGTACAGACAGAGCTGATGGAGGAGGAAAGGTGAGAAGAGATAGAGAAATATGTAAGAACTAAAAGAAAAATGGCAGAAATGCAAGAGGAAAATACAGCAAATGATGTTTGCTCTCAAAAAAAGTTCCAGAAATACAATGAAGCGCTCGGGTTTACTGTGCATATGGTCGAAAATGAATATTTGCAATAATCATTATCAGGTTTTCAATAGTATTTCAATTCAAGGGGGGTCGTGAAGATTTTTAAGTTCCCAAGGGGGGCATGAGAGAAAAAAATTGAGAACCACTGATCTACTGTAACAAAGACCTGCAATACTGCTGAAACACGTCTAGTATATCTAGTGTAAACAACACTAAGAAGACAAAAATTATTTTAACTGATTTAAAGCGGTTTATTTCCACCTACTGTAACAGAGTGTAGTGTGTAATTTTACAGTGTTGGTGGAATAAAATAGACACAAACTGACAAAAACCGTAACCAGTACCTAAAACCTTTAGAGAAAGTGGAGTTAAAGTAAAAAAAAGAAGAAAAAAAAAGAAAATGCTACTCAAGTAAAGTACTAACTTTCAAAAACTCTAAGAACAGTACCGATGATTGATGATTTATTGCCACAAACTCCATGACTTTTCATCATCCTGTWTTCTCTGAACTTTCTTACTTTTTCTGTATTAGCTGGTACTGATTCCTAAATACACGGAGCTTCCTGGYTTCCACGGTAGCGACCCAGCGTCAGAGAAGCACCGGGAGGACATGATCCGCTACACGTGTCTGGATTCCTTCCTGATCACGCCCATGCCCGCTCTGGCTGAAATGTGCTCCAAGCTCATCTGTAGCATCTCGTCCATCATCCACGACGGCTCTTTGCGTAAGTGGGCGCGGTGAATCAGGTTTGCTGGTTTCTAAGTGTGGCCGAATGTTTACTGATTAAAGGTATGTTCTGTGTTTGTTGTGTTCAGCCTGTCAGTGTGACCCTCAGGGCTCCATCAGCGGCGAGTGTGAGAAGGTCGGAGGTCAGTGTCTCTGTAAAACCAACGTCATCGGGCGACGCTGCGATCAGTGCGCACCAGGAACCTACGGCTTTGGAGCAAACGGCTGCGCTGGTGAGGCTGGTTTTAAAGACCAATCATGTGTGCACCTAATTAATACTTTTAAAAAGAGGGGGCATTATGTATTTTCCAGGCACTCAGTTCAATTATATGCAATAATTAAGTAACTATATTACTCTTAGTTGTTATGAAAATGCTGGATTAGGGCTGGGTGATTAAATGATAACGATATTTTTGCCATAGACACGTGATCAATATCAGGAAAAATACATTTGGTAGAACGTTGATAATGTAACTTATGGAAGTTTATGAAATTTGCGTAGATAAATAAAAGTTATAGACAGAATGGGACTGGAGGTTGTGACAACAACACACAATAACAAACACTGCAGCTGTAACATCACTACCTCCTCTATCCAAGCCGGTGGAGAGTGATGTGCAGATYGATACTGAAATATCGATACTACCGATACCAGAACTTTGTGTTCTAGAATCAATACTAAAATCAAAATATCCGTACTTTGATACTTTAGTTATTTCACATAATGTATATCATTAACAGGAAAATAGTGGAAAATAACTAAACTATTCCAATCTTGTCTTAAACATGTGGTTGGAGGGAACTACTTTTTCTTCTGCTTGGGTAATACATAAGCACAGTGGCACATGCTCCATCAGTCACTCAGTCTGTACATGTATGGCAGGTCATTTTAACATAAAATCTGCTTCTTCTGACTGAAGTTAAATTCTAGATGAGGGGTTCCCAAACTTTTTCATGCCGTGTCCCCCCAAACAACATTAGCTCTGGCCAGATACCTTCTTGCAAACACACAAACAATGCTACAAAATACAGTATACAAAGTAAAAACTTTTAAAATATTTTTTCTCACTTTTGTTCACTATTCAAAAATTATTGTATTTCTTAGGGATAAGAATATTAAATTGTGCTAAACAAATACAAGGTTAGGGTTAGAAAGACTTTTAAATTAAAAAATGACTTAATGTGTCATGTATTATTTATAAAGCGGTTATTTATAAAAAGCAGTACGTTTTAAGATTTACCAGACACATTATGTGTGTTATCACAAAGTATCAATATCGGATCAGTATCGCCAATACCAGTCAAATTTTACTTGGTATCAGTATCGGAAAGAAAACTGGCAGTATCGAACATCACTAGAATTTATTCTTTATGTGTCTTCGTCTGGCTTTATAAAATAACTGCGGTCACCACCTCACTGCGCATGTTTTTAATGAAATTTACAGAGGGGGGGATAAAAGTTACCGACCTGAAACAACAAACATCAACAGCTTCTRAAGCTAACTAGCAGCTAAAGCCCAGCTAAGCAATGTTGGGGACGCTGAGCGTCTACAGAGCTCAGTAGCGATGCAAAGACTGCAGCGAAATGAGACGAGTCATTGGATAAATGCTGGGCTTTGTCCCGCCCATCGGACGCTGAGCGTCTCTGGGGGTCWATGGAGMAGTGGGCTGGCCTCGGCTGTCCCAGACGCTCAGCTTCTGCATGATGATTGGATGATCTGTCGAAGGCTGAATCCCTTTTTGATTGACAGCGAAATGAGCGAATCAGCAATCTTTTGGTGTAAACATCCGTGGGAGCGTTTTTAAATTTTCATTCTGTTCTGATTTGAACCGGAGACTTTATTAATCCTTTTAGCAGCATTTTATTTGTTAAAAACGACTAGCGACAAATCGAGCTTCTATTTCTGGTGGTTGTTTTGTATCTGCTTGTGTTTGGAGACTGACTTCTATCACTCTTTCTGACTTCTATCTCAGTTTCTGTCCAGCGGGTGCTGCTGAACCCCTCCACCGTCACAAAGCACTCACAGCCGACACATATTGTGATGTAGGCCGAAACTGAGCTTCCCCTMCTTGAAAGACCAGCATCCGCTTCTGATCCCAAACGCTTTGAAATTGGCCTCTGTCTCTTTAAGAACCTCCTACCGTTTCTAACACTCCCGCTTCAGCACGTCTTCACAACATCGCTTCAGGGGAGGGGTGCTCTGTGGGCCGGGAACACAGCTGCAGACTGAGCTCCAGGGAGGTAATTTGGGTGAATAGGCGGAGCTTTGTACCAGGAAGCATTTAGGCAGCTCCACATGGCTACCAYAGGAGATTCAAGGGTTTCTCCAACATTCATGAATGAGTCAAAGCAACACTCTGGGTGTGTGTTTGAGGGAATGACATCACATTTTTAAAAAGTCAGTTGCATGATGCCCTGTTAAGTCACCGCAGATCAGATGGAATGAGCCTGCAGGACAGACATGACTCAGGAACCACCAGTTGAGGGTCAYTGTTTTGAAGGTTTGTCAGCAGTAAACTGTGTTTTCCTCCCGTACAGCTTGTAACTGCCACTCTGACGGCTCCGTGAGTCACCAGTGTGACCCAGTCACAGGTCAGTGCCAGTGCAGACAGGGAGCCACCGGACGCCAGTGCTCAGACTGCCAACCAGGCCATTGGGGCTTCCCCAGCTGCAGCCCCTGTCAATGCAACGGCCATGCAGACACCTGTGAGYCCAGGACAGGGGAGTGCAGAGGCTGCAGGGACAGCACCGCGGGACACCACTGTGATCGGTGAGGACCATTCAGATAAACTTTCCTCTTATCTTTTGCTTTTTGTTACAAAGCTGTGAATAAACGTCTCCCTCGTTCATCTCAGGTGCGTGGACGGGTTTTATGGGAACCCAGTGCTTGGCTCAGGGGACCACTGTCGCCCCTGCCCCTGTCCTGGTGTCCCTGGTTCAAACCACTTTAATGGACATTCCTGTCAGACTGACCAAGCCTCTGATCAGATCATATGCAACTGTAGACAGGGATACACAGGTGAGCAAACACAATCAGCACAGCTCAGTTTCTCCTGCCTTGGTTTGTCTTGTTTGTGCAAGTCGAGTGAACAATTCACCAAATTATCCAACTTTACCCACTCTTCTCCGAGGTCTCCGCTGTGATCAGTGCGCCCCTGGTTATTACGGCAACCCGGAGCGCCCCGGAGGTCAGTGTCTGCCCTGCGAGTGCAACAACAACATCGACCCCCAGGATCCTGGATCGTGTGACCCCAGGACCGGCCAGTGTCTGCGGTGCCTGTACCACACCGACGGCCCTTCCTGTTCCCGCTGCAAAAACGGGTATTTTGGCAACGCTTTGTCCCAGGACTGCAGACGTGAGTCGTTACAACTCATATGTCCTATAATCTTAAAGTGCCTGTGATATCCTTCAAATACAAAAAGTCAAAGAAAACATCTTCATGTTTAAGAAACTTGGCAAAATACACACAGTTTTATTCATTTTGTCACATAACTGGCATATTTTCTTTGGAATTTGGCTCAGTCAATTGAAACAGGAAGTGACATCAAAGGGGAACTTTTTCAGAAAAGGAACTCTCTGGTCTTTGTKTATTGATTCAAATTATTTAAACTCTGACTTTTCTTCATCTTTCAGATAGTGACTCAAAATAATCTAAAGAAACATCAGATTCTTCTCTACAGTCTGTGTTGTTAAATGTTGTAGCAATGCTCTGTTCCCATGCAGACATTCCCCTTTGACATCACTTCCTGTTGCTTCACATTGGATTATCTCAACAACCGTTCATCTCAGCGAWGTGAAATTCTTTTTGCAATATATTATCAATGTTAGCTTTCAATAAAAGCAGTCATATTTATTACAAAAATTTGATGTCACAGGCATTTTAAAGTTCTGATACAACATTTGTTGTTGGTTTGGAAGCTACAGCTGCCTTTGTTGTTGTTTTTGTTTTAAAGTTGATGTAATCTTTGGACACTTACCCTCAAATTCCCCCTTTTTTGGCGTAAAGAGTCGAACTAATCAGCTGTGCAACTCATACATGCTTCCCAGGTTGCACCTGTGTGCCCTCTGGCACTGTGGAGTCCTCTTGCAGTGACGGACAGTGTCAGTGCGACCCGCAGACCGGACACTGTCCTTGCAGGGAGAACGTAGTTGGCCTCGGCTGCGACCAGTGCGCCCCCGACCACTGGAACCACGGTCAGGAGCGAGGCTGCGAGCCCTGCAACTGTGACCTTCAACACGCTCTGGGAACTCACTGCAACCTGGTGAGGAAGAGTGTAAGAGCCCGTAGAAGCCGAAGGTGTTGATTCTGACAGAAAACCTGTCGTTCAGTTCACAGGTCAGTGCCACTGTCGCCCTGGATTCGGAGGCAAACACTGCACCGAGTGTGAGCAGCTTCACTGGGGAGACCCACAGGTGGAGTGTCGAGGTAACCCTCAACAAAAAGTGGTATACGCAAGTATCCTTTAAGTATACTGATTTTACCTTTAAAAAGTATACTTCCAATTTACTTTTTCTGTACTTATCTGAGATACAACAAGTTTATCTTATGCTATACTTGGTTTGAACTAAAAATATACTAAAAGTTTAAGTATATTTAGTTTATACAAATGTTAAAACTTTGCCAAGAGAAACTTTAATAGTACACTGAAAGTACATTTTCACACAGACTGGTTTATTTGTAGTATATTTCAAGATTAAATTAAAATTATACTTAAAAGATTACTTTAAGTATACTTTTAATTGTACTTTCATAAACTTATTGTGGGCCAATTTAGTCCTAGAAGTATACTTGTTAGTAAACTGTTAGTATACTTATATCAGTGTACATGGTAAATAAAAGTACACTTAGGGAAATACACTTTTAAATACTTTAGTATACTTAATGACATGTACTTAAAGTTTACTTCATATTGGTAAGTAAATATTATACTAAGTATACTAAATCTAAGTATACTTTAGTAGACTTGAAGCCGCACTAATCATCAGTGTACTTAGAGAGTGGTACTTTGGAACAACTAATTTAATACTAAATATACTTTAGTTGTATTTAAGTTGTACAAAAGCACAATTTTAAATGTATTAAGTATACTTTTAAATACTAAAATGGAGCAACTTCAAATATACTTAGTACACTTTAAGTGATAAACACCTAAAGTGTACTAAGTATATTTGAAGTTGGTACTTAATACTTAATACACTTAAAATTGTGCTTTTGTACAACTTAAATACATCTAAAGGATATTTAGATTTAGCATACTTAGTATAATATTTTTTCACCTGGGAACTCATCTTGTGACACAGAATGTCAGAAAATACATTATTCTGGAAGCAGAAATTAGGTAGTTTTCACCAGCGTGATGAATAAAAACTTCACTTAGAAGTTACTGAAAGTCGGGATATTTTGCACCTCAGCTGATATTCTTACTGTCCTCCTGTCCATCTGCTCTCCTCTGTCCGTTCAGAGTGTAAGTGCCACCCGCTGGGCTCAGAGACGGCCCAGTGCCACCGAGAGACGGGTCGGTGCGAGTGCCGGGCGGGGGCGGAGGGGAGGCACTGCGACCAGTGCGCKCGCGGCTTCACGGGCGTCTTCCCCGGCTGCGTCCAGTGTCACCCGTGCTTCCAGCTGTGGGACGACCACGTGTGCCAGATCCGGAGGGACTTGGAGCACATCCAGTACGTGGTGCAGGAGATGCTGGAGAGCGGGGTCCGGCCGGGAGTCGAGGACGCCCACATCAAGGAGCTGGAGAGGAAGCTGGATCAGGTGCGGGAYCTGATCGGGACGGGGGATGCAGACAGGATCCACCAGCTGATTGGACAGAGCATCGATGACCTCAGGTGAGCAAGTCACACTGTTAGTAATCCAGCTAACAGTC